GAGAGAGGAGATGAGGAGAGGAAAAGATGAGAGAGAAGAGAGGGGAGATATTTATATTAGATAGATGAGAGCATGAGAGATGAGAGATGAGAGATAGAGAGCAGAGATGATACAGATGAGAGGAGGGGGAGAGAGAGAGAGAGAGAGAGAGAGAGACAGCGCGCGAGCGAGAGATCGCAAAAAGACGGTGGTGAAAAAGGCGTGATATTTGACACACGGAAAACTAACCAAGAGTAAAAAAAAAAAAGAACCAAATACGAAAGAAATCATTCGAGCTGCAGCAATTCTAAACTTGTATCGTAAACACGAAATTTATTTCACAACTCGCATCACTATGTACAAAGAGTTAACGCCTCGCGTCACACAATACACACTGAATAACTACCTACCTACCTACCTCATAGTTCTACTCGTGTAACCCTTCACGCTGCCACAAGCTATAGGGTTATAGATAGCGGGGGGGGGGGCAGGGGAGAAGGACAGGGGAGCAGGGCAGGGATAGGGAGAGGGACAGGGACAGGGGAGGGGCATGGGAGGGACAGGGAAGAGGTACAAGGGAGGGGACAGTTGCCCAAGGCCTTCGCATCTCAAACGACTGGCCCCATCCACTGTTAACTGCCCGGAACACCTAACGCACGTGGCTTTGCTGTGCAGGAAAAAACGAGCCACGGCTCTCGCTAAGGCACGTCTATCGATTCGATCAACTTTGTTTCTTTCTCCGTCTTCGGTATAGTCCTGACTTTTAGGACCTAATCATTACGATGTTATTAAAGTACACGTTGACTACCGCAATGCTAACTCACGTCTAGGTAAAATATCAACAAGAGCTAACAATACTCTATTATTATTTATATACCTTAAATATTACTAGCTATTGATATCATAAAATGAACCGTGGAATGATCGACCGTTCGTGAGCGTACAACCAGGAGAAGCTAACATTACCAAAGGGGGGGGGGGGAGAAACATAAATAGTTATCACATTGCGAGTATATAAAATGTCGTCAGTTTTACAAGAGATAGTCACGAGAATTTTACAACATTTCTGACATTGTGTGCGTCAACTGACTACTGTATTGTGCTACGTATATATAGTATTTATATATATATATATATATATAAAGAGCTAATAATACTTCTTCATATTATTATCGTATAATACCTATATTATATTATTTTGCTCATATATATATATATATATATATATATAGATAGATAGATATATACTATGTATGGCGTACTCATCCACTGGCAATTAACTCAGGCGCCTCTTCAGTTCTGGGCAACTTTCACATATCTACACATTCTGCTCATGACCTCACACGCTCGTAATACCGATTAAAAATATAAATGCTCAGGATCGAGTAAAAACTCAACGCGTGTGTATAATAAGCGTAGCGTTGTCGGCTGACCCCCCCCCCCCCGAGACACTGGGAGCGCCTCACGATCGATCACGATTTTAACACGTGAAAATTCCGCTGGCGCGAAATAACTGTGCGGTGCATGATATTACGAGGAGTGTCATAACGAAGACACTCCTATATCATGACTATACGACACTATTCGACTATATTATCACACTCCTGATATTATGCCCTAAAGCATTATTATGACGTTATTATCTAAATTGGACTACAGGTGGCGCCAAGTTATATATATTATTTAACAACTCGGGTAAAATAGATAAAGGGAAGATTAGATTACAGAAAGATAAACTGGAATAACACTCGAACTCGATGTCATAAAGAATAACATGCGTCATTTAGCTGTGGCACGGAACACATTAAAAGTGCTAAATACGATACGGAGATCACGAATTATGCACAGTCACGGACGGTATAATAATAAAATAATAGCTGTTGCTATGGTAAGGCGCCGTCAGGCATGCGACGTTATGGCGATTTGGTTGCCATGGTGAAGTGAAGGCACTTGCACGTAACTATGGCTACGCTGTTGCCATTGATGGGGTGATGAGAAGCGTGCGTGGCAGCATGTCGCCCGCAGTCAAACAGTTGCCATGACGATGCGATGTCGCCGCTATGTTGCCAAGCATCCCCTATGCTGACCATACACGGTCCTCGTTGCTTTTCGGTCCATCCCTGAGGCTTGGATGCTTGTGGCAAAAAGCATTCATTCATAATTCAGTCAATCTGTGTGTCAAAAACTGACCGACTACCTATTTCCTTTTTTAAGTTTTCCGTACATTTCCATAGCAATAAATTATTTAGTCGACTTCTCATTACTTGCGTCAAATTGCGTACCTGCTTTGGTCAGACCGTCGGTCGCTATGGCGACAGCGGTTCCAAGATGTCTTCCATATAGTCGATGTTGCCAATGCCGTCGACCTGAGAGATGGTGTGGTCCGTTGTGATATCGTCCAGCTGCGTGACAATGCAATGCAGTAAGGAATAGAATTCAGTGGAGAATGTTACAGAGCCGGCTGCCAATCTCTCGCTAGAGCACACTGCTCTAGAGCAGAGTCTCTGACACCAGGGAGGACAGTGAGAATTCTGACAGCTCATTAGTAGTCACTGAATATCTTCTTTGTATTACTGTAAATAAACCATTGTAAAAATTTCAAATTTCAGTCTTTTATTTAAAAACAAGTGCCGCGGAGCGACAGCGCTCATCTAACGTCTACTGCGGTGACTCTGTGGTGGAGTGGTGGGATTCTAGTAAACCCTGAACCCTGTTAGTCCCAAATGTGTTCACATACACGCCGAAACAGTGGAA